AAGTTTAAAATATAGTAGCCGGTTTAGGCGACAGGCCTATGCCCGCTTAATCTATCTATTTTAATAAAACAGTAACGTAATTAACTGACTGATCGACCTAACGATTCATCAATGCCCAAACGAAACGGCTAAAGCTAGAATCATGAAATTTTGGATGAGGGTCACTCTTGGTCCAAAGGTGTCAGATAAGACTGGGTTTTTGGAAATTTATACTAAACGATACGACGGGTACTAAATATGGTACCACTTGAAAAACCTTCAAACATTTTTGATCCATTTTCTTTTTCTCGATTTGATACATGTAAGTAACATAAAATTTCGTTTTAGGCAGAAAATGTCAAGAGAAAATATATTCTATTCAAAATTTCACTATAGCTCCCACAATAAACCTAGAGATTTAGGTTTAATATTTTTTGAGCAAATGTTATTCGAAATTTGTATATAGCGACTGAAAATGATGAGTTGACATTTTTTACTGCTAATTGAATACATTTTCATTTTTAGTCAAAATCTCAATTATAAATTTATTTGTGTGTCAAAGTGTCAAAGGAAGATATATTCTAGAACAAATTTCATTATGAGTCCCTGATCAAAAGGAATGTCAAAACACGACATTTTTTCATAAATATATTCAATAAATATTTTTTACTTTGAAAATATGAAGATTACTTACTGAAACATAAAATTTGTGAAGCATTCTTTAAAGTTATCTTAATTGTTGATGAAATCCACGCAGAAAACCGTATAATAGCAAGATAAGACTATGGTTTGAATTCGGTCCCTGTGCGACCTTAATAAACTGGCTTTGGTGTTTGCTTATAAGGCTAATATACACATAATGTTAGAGTCATATGTAAACCTACATATCTTACATTTATCTTAAGCATTTTTATAACATACTTTACGGCGCGTCACACAATTTCTTACCTGTAAGAATACGCTTTATGGTATATATTATAATATACAGGGTGAGATAAAAAAACTGCAAAAAAGTCAAACGCCATAATTTTTAATTTTTTTTTTTTAATTTTATTGAATGAAAGCAAAAAATGTCGGAAATAGCATCAAATTTTAGAATAAGTTTAGATTTGGTCACCTTTGGCACGAATTACAGCCTTCAAACGGCCAGTGAAACCGTCACACGCTGCCCGAATGTTGCTCTGTGGTATTTTAGCCCATTCCCGGCGAAGCGCTTGCTTGAGGTGATCGACACTTTGGTATTTTTTCAGTGCCAACCTTGCTTTCCAAAATATTCCAGACACAATAGTCCAATTGATATCTGGAGATTTTGGTTGCCATTGTGCGCAGGAAATGAAGCGAGGAACCTGATATTGTAACCATTCTTGGGTGGCGCAGGCTGAGTGCGATGGTGCTGAGTCCTGTTGGAATGTCCAAGGTCTGCGGCAAAAATGTTTGCGTGTCCAAGGCTTTAATACATCCTCCAGAATATGTTCGCGATAATATTCGGCATTTATTCGACTAATACGGGCGGAGAGCGACCATCGGTTGTTATGGCGGCCCACACCATTACCATGGCCAGCGCTTGAGTTCTGGTGGCCAACCGAAGGTCCACATTTTCAGCTGACCTCTTTGACAAGTAAACACGATCATTTTGTTTGTTTACAAACTTCTGGACAACGAATGTTTTCTCATCGGAGAAAACCAAATTCGGCAGTTCACCCTTTTCGGCCAAGCGAAGCAATTCTTAGCTCTTTTAAGTCTTTTTTCTTTTTGGTGCGGTATAAGTTCTTGCACTTTCTGGAATTTCAATGGCTTTACCCCGAGCTCATTTTTCAATATTTGCCGAATGGAATATTGCGATATGTTCCGCTCACGAGCCATTTTCGGTTTCGATCAAGTCGCTTCTTTACTTTTCGAACCATCTCTGCTGATGTTGCTGTTTTCTTCCGTCCACCTCCTTGACGTCGGGCTACGCTACCAGCATCACGGTAACGAGCGATGGTACGAGACACAAAAGATTTATTCACATTTAAATGATGTCCTCTAACGATAGCCACTTGTGGGTTTCCAGCCAAATATAAAGAAATCACACTATCACACTTGAATTACATCACGAATAACTTTTTTTCTGGAAAATTCTCACCAAAATGCTTTGGTCCGTTTGTAAACAATATAATGAGCTGTCACTGGAATAATTTTAACAGCTTTCGGACGAGTGGCTTAGAAATGACAGTAGTCTGAAGTTGGTTGCAGTTTCTTCATCTCACCCTGTACATATATTACATAGCATTGTACAGCATATATTTTATAAAGTATAGCGTTTCGTTTAAAAATTGTTGGGCGAGCTTACAAAAATGTTGATTATAAAATATAAAAAAAAAAATCATTTTACATACATATGATTTTAATACGATGTGGAAAGTAACCTTTAATATGTGCTATAAAAAACATCACATAATTTCAGATTTTTTACTTACGACAAATTTAGAGCCTTTTTCCAAATTCGTTGCAATTTTTCTTCAAATTTAACTGTCCAATAGCAAGTCTGGGCTGGGCTGGGCTGGAAAATTCGGACTGGATTTACTGGTACTCAGTTTGTAGATCAAACCCCTAAAATAGTTTCAGGTTCTTAGGTCAAACTTTTTAGGACCCTTAAATAACCCTGATCTGACTCCAACATAGAGCTTTGAAAATTCATAGGGAGCTTTGAATTACTTCAAGAATTATTGATTTGAAATGGTTTCTTATGGCATTGAGCAGTTTTTGCGCACTAAATTTTAATGGAGTACGGCTGTAATCCTAAAATCTGTTTTTACTGTTTATGACCTCTTGACGTATCGAAAAGATTTTTTTTATTCTGGTATAATTTACTGGAGAAGTTATTATAAAAAGCTAAAAAGGGTTAAAGGCCACTATCCATATCGTGTTTGAGTCATATTTAAAGTGATTTTTTCACTTTGTAAAATAAAACCAGTAAGGAAAGGTCAAAAGTCGGGCGGCCCGGATATATGATACCCTACACCACTATGCGTGCTTAGTAGAGTTCCTGGTAATAAAAAAGTTCATATTGGGAATTTATGTGAATTAGATAATACCAACTATGATCCAAATAACATTGCCATGATATGACTTCGATAAGGTTATACAGTATTTTTTGCTTACCTGCACAATCAAAAATTGCACGACATCTTGTGCAGCAATGCCCAAAATGCAGGTAGCTTCATTGCATTTATCTGCACAATGAAGCAGGTATCTTTAATTTTCTATTCGTGCACAACAAAGCAGCAATCTTTATTTTACTTACGTACGTGTAATAGCCAGCCAAAATCAATGGGGAATCTTTTAAAGTTTATAATACATTTATTAAGTGGTTTAATTATATTAAACACAACAATTTAACATAAAATAAATAATTCATAATTCTCATGAATTGTCTAGGCAAGCAATGCTCACCATTAGCGTCATCGAAACTTCAAACAAAAGAGTGTTCTCTTTTAGCTCATCAAAAGTAGTTAAGTTAGTTAATAGACAAACTCAGAGAGACAAATTCACAACATAGGTATTTGAGCATCAGTGGTGTTTTATCCAGCATAACCATCTTTTAGTGTGGGAGAGGAAGCGAGAATATGTTTTTAATGCATGTTCTTTTCTTGTGTTGTTATTGTTTTTGCGAATACAAAAACAAAAACGAAGTGGTAGTTTTTAGTGTCTTCTTTGAGTTTGCAAAAAATTTTCTTGTGCAGATAAATACAACTTTTGTAACCAAATTAAAAAATACAATTCAAATAAAGGGATTCAGAAAAAAATGGCATAAAAAAAAAGTTTTTTGGTCTTCAAAGGCCAATGCGCAGCTAATGTTGATGCAGGTAAATAGAAAGCACTGTATTAAAAATATTTATTGGAGCAATAGATATACCGCACCGAGTTTCAGCAAATGCTAAAATTCGGTTGAAAATGAAAAAAATCTATTCAATTTGGGATGATATTACATATATGTTGAGCAATAACCTTTAAATCCGATGAACAGGTATATCGAAGCTATCTAAAAATCTGAACCGATCTCGATGCATGTGAGGGACTTTAACGCCAAATCGGATGAAACATATTATGACAGCTATAGCTATATCTTAACCAATTTTCTCTAAATTTGATGTACTTGTTTCTGGACTATGTTCGGTCGGAGGTACCAAAATCCAGATTATTTTGACTGATATTGGCCATTTGGTGGACAATAAACCTGAAATCGGATAAAGATATATATAGGAGCTATATCCAAATGTGATCCGATCTCAAATATTATTGCTGTGCAGTACATATTACGCATGTGAGGGACTTTAAAACCAAATCGGATGAAACATATATACGGATGAATTTCTAGACTGAATTTCTTCGGAAGTGCCACAATTCACTTCATTTGCGCCGAATTTAGCCATTTGGTGTATAATAAACCTGAAATCGGATAGAGATATATATGGGAGCTATATCCTATCTGATTCAAAATTTTAGGCACTTATTTCTGAGCTGCATATAATATCTGGTGCAAAACATCATTGTTGTGGAGTATATATTACGCATGTGAGGGACTTAAAATCCCATATCGGATGAAACATATATATGAGAGCTATAGCCATATCTGAACCGATTTGATGTACTTGCGTCTGGACTATGTTCGGTCGGATGTGCCAAAATTCAGGTCGTTTGGACTGATATTGGCCATTTGGTGCACAATTAATCCGAAATCGGTTGAAGATATATATGGGAGCTATATCTAAATTTGAACCGATTCTCACCAATTTCAATAGGGTTCGTCCTTGGACCAAACATGAAGATCATCAAAAGTAACTACGGCTCTATCGCGCCTCCTTTCCTTTCCGATATGTGTGAGGCGCCTTAAGATATGTTATTAAATTACTTTACATAAATGTAGAAATAGTAGCTTTACATATAAATCAAACATTAGGTGAAAATTCAATTGGAACATTTTTCAAAGTGACTTAAATTATTTTAATCAAGTTTTCTGTTTCCTTTTTTTCATATTTAGGCACTTTGATAGTTTCCTTGCTATTCAACATAGAAATGCTAAAAATCAATTAAGGGATACCATAAAAGTTAATACAACAAAGCGAATCCTTGATGCGCCTCAAAGTATAAAAGCAGAATGCTACAAACGAAATCATCACAGAAATCAAACCGAAATCAAAATGAATTCAGTACGACAAGCTATCCTACCAACTGCTGCTGTCCTCTTGGTTTTATTGGCCGCATCCTGTGTCCAATGTCAGCTAACATTTTCTCCCGACTGGGGCAAACGGTCGGGCCCTCTGAGCTCATCCTTTTTCGATAATCAACCGGGAAATTGTAAGACACCCAATGAAATGCTTTTGGATATTTTCAAATACGTTCAGGTATGAGGTTGATTGGACAAAAAATATCTCACCAACATCAGATAATAATTTCAATATTTAATATTTTTTTCTAGAATCAAGCCCAGCTCTTTTTGGATTGCAAGCATCGTGAATAGGATGTGTATTCCGGGGGAATATTACGAAATGAAAAGCTAAAATTTAAATAAAAAGTATCTTCAATTATTTAGAAAGTGATGTATAACCCAGCATTTGTGTGCCAAACTTAGGAGCTACGTTTTCAGAAATGTTGCTTTTTTATTTTATTTTTAAATATCATAAATATTATTATTGTATAAAATAAAGGATAGTCGGCTTATATTTCAAAAATGAAAAAAATGTTTTTTTTTTATCCACAAACTAGGTTGAACAAGTAAACCAGTGAGGAAAAGTCAAAAGTCGGGTGGGGCCGACTATATGATACCCTACACCTTTGTGCATATTTAGTAAAGAAAGAATTTATTTCAAGTAAATAATTTGGCTTCAGAGCAGTTATAGATTGCTATAGAGTGCATAATATCACTTGGAGAAGGATAATATAAAAAAATATGTATCGGAGCCGAATTGTAAAAAAGAGGAAACATATGTCCCACTCTATTTGGGCTGATATTAGCCATTATTTGCACAATAACCCTGTGATCGGATTAAGGATATATATATGGAAGCTATATCCAAATCTTAGCCGTTCTCGATAAAATTTGGCAAAGGTATTTCCGAGCTTTGAACGAAATCTGGTACCAAATATCATAGTTGTCGATTGCATATTAAGAATATTAAGGACTTAAACACCAAATCGGATGAAACATATAGTTGCTTCTAGGCAAAATTCGGTCGGATGTACCAAAATTCAGGATTTTTGGACTGATATTGGACATTTGGTGCACAATTAACTCGAAATCGGTTGAAGATATATATGGGATCTATATTTTCTCAAATTTGATTTACTTGCTCCTAGACTGAATTCGGTGGGATGTACCGAAATACAGCCCATTTGGTACACAATTTACCCGAAACCTACCTGATATTGAAATCGGTTCAGATTTAGATAAAGCACCCATATAAATTTCCGGCCGATTTCACATATCAGAATGTGCTACTGATCAACACCGGTGGTCCTACGATCCGGATCAGTGGAGGATAGTGGAGAAAAAACTAAATCTTCGAATAAATGTTGAAGAACTTGTCTTAACGTCGAGGAAATTCCGTCGGCTATGCCAAAATTGGTATAAAGTGACTTAGCACAGAAGACTGTGGTGGCGGTGCACACCGAGGGGGCTTCATATCTGAGATCTTCTGACAGAAGGGGTGAGACATTTCCCGGGAGGACATATCGGTAAAATGGTCACCAATGATGAAAATGCGACTCTTCTCGAAATTATGGGTACAATAATGAGTATATTATAGACGGAAATAATGAGTATATTATAGACGAAAGAACCCATAGAAGGCGTATGTAAGTTCGCAACAGAAACACTTATAGACGCGGCAATTGACGTAAAATGCTATCCTGGCGTTTATAAGCGGGTTTCAGATATGCTTCTAAAGAAGTCCAAACTAGTCGCTGCTATCAGAGCCGAATGCAACAACGAGGCTAAAAGATGTTAAGGTAACTTGAAGGCACGCAGGCTCTTAATGTGAAGAGAAAGTCCTTGGCTTGAAAAAACAAGCCACCCCGAGAGCGAAGCGAGGGGTGCTACGTCCTCAGTCTACGGCGGGTGATGTTGCAAATGTCATCCGAAACGCTAAGTCACCCAAAGTGATAAAAGTTCTCAACCGGCAAATGGCCCGGTTGGTTGCGCTACTTAAGCCAGGCAAGGATGTCAGCAAAAGCGAATCTTACCGGTCAATCTGGCTTTTGTCGCCAGTTTGCTATCCAGCCAACTAGTAAGCTATCCAGTTGCGCGACCATAAACACTGATTCCGTCCACAAAATATCACCACAACAGCATTGCACGCCATATCCACACATATCAATCGATTATTAATACAGACTGAATGCCGCCTTCCGCTCTCCATTGCAGCTAAAGAAAGTCGGCTACCCGGACAACCCAGGGTAGTTATGGCACAATTACGTTCAGGAATCGTATTGTATTGGACACAGTCTCGTACAATTCGCTGGGAGAGAGGTAACAGAAGGAGTGGACTGATATATTCCATCTTCACACCAAATCTTGCGTTATTAAAAATGTTGAAATGTGTTGTGGCGAGGTACCAGGGGAATGGACCTATATAACATCGCACCATAACTTGTGATAATAAAAATACGGCGAAGTATGAAATTTAAAGAGAATCAGATAGTTATTTCGTAAGATTGACAATTATTCTTAATTTTGAGATCTTGATAAATATTTTAAAATGGCCATAACTCCTTAAACTTTGAGTATTCGGCGTTTTAGTTATAATTTGCGATCACTTTTATAAACATTAATTATTGAATATAGTAAAAAGGCCATAACTCCTTAAATATTAATATTTGTGATCACTTTTTTAATTGTGAATTAATCAATATACTAAAATGGCCATAACTCCTTCAGTATTGAGTTTTCGGCGTTTTTAGCTATTACTTGTGATCACTTTTATGAGCATGAATTAACCAATATTTTAAAATGGCCATAACTCCTTAAATATTGAGTTTTCGACATTTTTAGCTATTATTTGTGATCACTTTTTTAAGTGTGAATTAATAAGAATTTTAAAATGGCCATAACTCCTTAAATATTGAGTTTTCGGCGTTTTAAGAATTTTAAAATGGCTATAACTCCTTAAATATTCAGTTTTCGGCGTTCTTAGCTATTATTTGTGATCACTTTTTTAAGTGTTAATTATTAAAAATTTTAAAATGACCATATCTCCTTAAATATTGAGTTGTCGGCGTTTTTAGCTATTATTTGTGATCACTTTTTTAAGTGTGAATTAATAAGTATTTTAAAATAGCCATAACTCCTTAAATATTGAGTTTTCGGCGTTTTTAGCTATTATTTGTGATCACTTTTTTAAGTGTGAATTAATAAGTATTTTAAAATGGCCATAACTCCTTAAATATTGAGTTTTCGGCGTTTTTAGCTATTATTTGTGATCACTTTTTTAAGTGTGAATTAATAAGTATTTTAAAATGGCCATAACTCCTTAAATATTGAGTTGTCGGCGTTTTTAGCTATTATTTGTGATCACTTTTTTAAGTGTGAATTAATAAGTATTTTAAAATAGCCATAACTCCTTAAATATTGAGTTTTCGGCGTTTTTAGCTATTATTTGTGATCACTTTTTTAAGTGTGAATTAATAAGTATTTTAAAATAGCCATAACTCCTTAAATATTGAGTTTTCGGCGTTTTTAGCTATTATTTGTGATCACTTTTTTAAGTGTGAATTAATAAGAATTTTAAAATGGCCATAACTCCTTAAATATTGAGTTTTCGGCGTTTTAAGAATTTTAAAATGGCTATAACTCCTTAAATATTCAGTTTTCGGCGTTCTTAGCTATTATTTGTGATCACTTTTTTAAGTGTTAATTATTAAAAATTTTAAAATGACCATATCTCCTTAAATATTGAGTTGTCGGCGTTTTTAGCTATTATTTGTGATCACTTTTTTAAGTGTGAATTAATAAGTATTTTAAAATAGCCATAACTCCTTAAATATTGAGTTTTCGGCGTTTTTAGCTATTATTTGTGATCACTTTTTTAAGTGTGAATTAATAAGTATTTTAAAATGGCCATAACTCCTTAAATATTGAGTTTTCGGCGTTTTTAGATATTATTTGTGATCACTTTTTTAAGTGTGAATTAATAAGTATTTTAAAATAGGCATAACTCCTTAAATATTGAGTTTTCGGCGTTTTTAGCTATTATTTGTGATCACTTTTTTAAGTGTGAATTAATAAGTATTTTAAAATGGCCATAACTCCTTAAATATTCAGTTTTCGGCGTTTTTAGCTTTTATTTGTGATCACTTTTTTAAGTGTGAATTAATAAGTATTTTAAAATGGCCATAACTCCTTAAATATTCAGTTTTCGGCGTTTTTAGCTTTTATTTGTGATCACTTTTTTAAGCGTGAATTAATAAGTATTTTAAAATAGCCATAACTCCTTAAATATTGAGTTGTCGGCGTTCTTAGCTATTATTTGTGATCACTTTTTTAAGTGTTAATTATTAAAAATTTTAAAATGACCATATCTCCTTAAATATTGAGTTGTCGGCGTTTTTTAGCTATTATTTGTGATCACTTTTTTAAGTGTGAATTAATAAGTATTTTAAAATGGCCATAACTCCTTAAATATTCAGTTTTCGGCGTTTTTAGCTATTATTTGTGATCACTTTTTTAAGTGTGAATTAATGAGAATTTTAAAATAGCCACAACTCCTTAAATATTGAGTTTTCGGCGTTTTTAGCTTTTATTTGTGATCACTTTTTTAAGTCTGAATAATTAAAAATTTTAAAATGACCATATCTCCTTAAATATTGAGTTGTCGGCGTTTTTTAGCTATTATTTGTGATCTCTTTTTTAAGTGTGAATTAATAAGTATTTTAAAATGGCCATAACTCCTTAAATATTGAGTTTTCGGGGTTTTTAGCTATTATTTGTGATCACTTTTTTAAGTGTGAATTAATAAGTATTTTAAAATGGCCATAACTCCTTAAATATTGAGTTGTCGGCGTTTTTAGCTATTATTTGTGATCACTTTTTTAAGTGTGAATTAATGAGAATTTTAAAATAGCCATAACTCCTTAAATATTGAGTTTTCGGCGTTTTTAGCTATTATTTGTGATCACTTTTTTAAGTGTGAATTAATGAGAATTTTAAAATAGCCATAACTCCTTAAATATTGAGTTTTCGGCGTTTTTAGCTTTTATTTGTGATCACTTTTTTAAGTGTGAATTAATAAGAATTTTAAAATGGCCATAACTCCTTAAATATTGAGTTTTCGGCGTTTTTAGCTATTATTTGTGATCACTTTTTTAAGTGTGAATTAATAAGAATTTTAAAATGACCATAACACCTTAAATATTGAGTTTTCGGCGTTTTTAGCTATTATTCGTGATCACTTTTTTAGGTGTGAATTAGTAAGAATTTTAAAATGACCATAACTCCTTAAATATTGAGTTTTTGGCGTTTTTAGCTATTATTTGTGATCACTTTTTTAAGTGTGAATTAATCAATATTTTAAAGTGGCCATAACTCGTTAAATATTGAGTTTTCGGCGATTCTAGCTATTATTTGTGATCACTTTTTTAGGTGTGAATTAATAAGAATTTTAAAATGGCCATAACTCCTTAAATATTGAGTTTTCGGCGTTTTTAGCCATTACTTGTGATCACTTTTTTA